AATTAATAATAATTTGCTTGAAATATTTAATAAAAAAAAATATGTGGATTCCAAAAGATTTGTCAAAATGGCGGCGCAATTTAGTTACGCAATCCCGAGCCTGGAATTGAAACGCGCAGGTCCGGATGTAGATCCCTGGAGGATGTCGCGCATGCTCAGAAGCAACATCTACGTTAATCGATTGAAACGCCACGCCCTAACCTTGTAGGACGCCAAAAATGGCGTAGGATGGTAAAATGGCGGCGGAGAGAAAATGGCGGCCGTCAAAATGGCGGAGTCAATTAAAATGGCGTAAGACATAAAACATGACGCAGTTATCATGAAATATCTAGAAGTATCGTTTTGTATTGTATTAATTTTGTATGATTTGCGTGATTTCTTGTTTTATTCCCTACGAAATTAAAGTAGAGTTGGTAAAACGACGCAAAAACGTGGTAGGTGATACGAAAGCGGGTTTTTTTTCAAATAAATTCATATTTTAATTAAAAAATTATACTAAACTCCAAGTACGTCGTCTATTAAGCAATACAGTATGATTTCCCAAAAGTAGGATTGTAGGCGATAAATTAAAAATAAGTAGTACTTACATGAATAAAACACGTTCAACAAAACTCCATACCAAAAAGAATTAAGATTTTGAAAATATTAAACCAGACTTTATAAAAGTAAAAGAGAAGTAAGTAAATAGACGAGCGTTGCCGGCCTAGGACATCGTGAAACTGAGGCGTTGTTCGGGACGTCTCACCCCCATCTCCCAGGATTCTGCGCAAGTCAGGACGCGGCCTTCGGGATTTAATCGATACGCGACGAATTGCGTAGGAAGATAAATCACCCCAGAGAACATTCTGGAAACTAACCTATGGTTCAAAGATTGTTTAATTGAGAGTCCTAGGTTCGATTCTTAGCCGAACGATTTTTTTTTCGTATGACTTGCTATGTAAGTTTTTAGTAAACGATATGAACATGTGATTGTTTTATAAATAATACGAAATACAATATTAGTAGAGTTAATGGTCCCAACATTTTCATCTATCTTAAAGAGGAAAGATTAGTATTTTTGTATGTATTGAAATCATTCAAAAACTACTACTGATTTTAAAAATTCCTTCACCATTAGAATGGTAATTTATTCCTGAATAATATAGGATTTTTTTTAACTTCACGCGGATGAATCCGCGAGCAACAGCTAGTCTTACATAAAATTTTATTACAAATTCTGCATTAAATAACATAAAAATATTATACGAGTAAAGTCCTATTTAATATCTTAATTACCTACGAATGTGTAACGAATGTACGAAAAAACTGAATTATACCTATTTTATAATTCATTATTGTTTGAAAACCCCGAATACGGTTCTATTATTGTAGACTGCTAACGTTAACAAACCGAACAAAGGGATAAACATAAATATTTTATAACTGCGCATTTAAATTTCCAGAATTTTCCACAGCAGAGCGTCGCAGGCTACAGCCTCCCCAATAAATCAATAACTACCCCGCCCACCCCTTTACCCCCTTCCACCTCCAGTGGAGATCGCCCACACATTTCCCGGAGAGTTATACCACCCTTAGCACCCACTATAAAATTTAAAGCCATCTATATTAAAAAAATCTTCCAACATTCTATATAATTAAATTAAAATAACTTTATTGTAATAATTATTTTTCATCTATACTATACTAATCTTATAAAGAGGAAAGATTTGTATTTTTGTATGTATTGAATTAACTCAAAAACTGCTGAACCAGTTTAAAAAATTCTTTCACCATTTAAAAGATAAGTTATTGTTGAGTTACATAGGCTGTATTCTTTATTTTAATTTTATTTAACGCAGGTGAAATCGCGAGCAACAGCTAATAAATTATAATTAAAAATTTATTAACTTATCAAAGCTTAGTGAGGATACACGCTATCCTTATCCTGACCTACGCAATTTGACGGCGCATGTCTATTAAGACAGTATGACCCAGGGGTCTGCAACAAAGAGCTTAAAATATGCATTGCGCAGGTCACGGTTACTTCAAAGCACCAGTATACTGTGTCTCAAGTAAAGTTGTACGCGCCATATCTACAGATGTTAAAAAATGTAAACAAGTACAGATTAAAAAAAAATATGAGTACAGTTTGGAGGAGATTCATCTGTTTTATTGACAATACTGTGAGTTTGAATGCTATAATATGCCGCAGGTTCGTGTAAAATAACGAGAATAATTAATACTGTTTTTCAAATAGATGTAGTACCTATATTGAAAAAAAATATGATGCACTAACTTCCGGGTCATGACACACGCGATGCAAAAGCGCATGTCCGGATGCAAAATCAATACGTCACATCCTTCAGCCCTGAAATAAATATGGCGGACGTATGGGACATGTTGGGGAGAACAAAGGATCATCTATTTTGTTAATTTGAAAAGCAGTTTAATACTACTTAAATGGAAATTTCCACTGTAAAAAATGTACTAAAACTATTATTCATTTAAAAAATAAAGTGACGACAGAAAGTTTTTGTATATGTCGTAGTGGAAATCATGAGTGGGTTTAATTTGTCCCATACGAGAGACAGACAAACAACAATAAACTGAACAATGCCAGCAGCCATCAATTGTTAAATATCACGAAAACAACAAACTAGAAATCAGAAGTGGTAATAACTCTCCTTGTTTCCTCTATTAAGTAGGACCTAAATATCCTCGTTTCTTCTCTATGTAACTAAAACGTATTCTAATTCTCTATAAAAGACAGAATTAGGTCCTCATCTAGTTACTGGCGGGTGCTGATGGTAGAACTGATCCATTGGTCTTGGTCCTAAAAATAGCACTTACCTGTATTAACGTAGTTACGCCTGAAGTCTCGGTCAAAAAACCAACTTAATATTACACAAACAAACGAAAAGAAAGATAAGATTAAACTAATCGTAAATGAAAATATGATAAATATTATACATCGCGTACAGAAAACAAACCGCCGTTATAGAAAATGTAAACATAATTAATTAGTTTCCTGATAAGAAAATAATACAATAATATTAGCAAAAAGAAAATAACGTGCGACATTGGACGCTTGCTCACGAATGGCATAGAATTTATAATTTTCGTAGTCCCGGGGGAGAGCCACGGCGCAGGTCTGGGAGATGGCGGGGTTATAAATCAATAACGCTCAACAGGTACCGGGAAACGGAGAGGGAGGCGAAGGGGGGTGCAATTCCTGGATGTAAGCCCGGGCCGCCGTTAGCCTTAATATAGAATACCTAGGGCAGAGATGCGCACTGCGCAGCCATTTCGCGGACTTTTTAAATATTCCGATACCAAACCTCATCTCGAATATTCAAATGCTAAAAAGATTTCACGCAAAAATGTATTGCGAAAACGAACTGATAAGAAAATTCCGTCAGGTGGCGTTGTACTTTTGTAAAGCGCCATCTCACAGAATCTTCCCGAACTTATCAGGCTGTATTGCCGTAGAGCGCCATCTCACGGAATTTTCCGGAACTTGTCCGCCTTTATTGCCATAGAGCGCCATCTGACAGAATTTAAGGAACAAGTACGTTAGAGTCCATCTGAAATAACGACAGATGTCGCTGTTGGGAAAGGTTTTTTTTATTTGTAATAACTAAAGATGGCGCTGTTGGAAAGGATTTATTTTTCTGCTTAGCCTTCGTATGCTTATTTATCATTGATACTACTGTTAATTTAGATTTTAAAAGTTCCTATTTTTTCATTATCAAGGGGACCTTCATAGATTAAAAAACCAATTATATGGTACGCAAAAACAGCATTATAACAAACGAGTAAACCTATAAGTTATTTATCAAGAAATTGGATAACCTAATTTAAATCAAATCATACTTTTATATCTAGAATAATGTACTATCATACTTATATGATCATGTTAGTATGATTGTAGACGTCGGCGTAGCTACAGTTATAAATAACTCGTGTTTTCCACCCTATTGGCAGTTCGACGGCGCAACTCGGGGCTATAAATCAATAAACGTTCGAGAAGCTTCCATCGCGTCGGCCCGGCAAATATTTACAAAATATAAATAGATAGTTTCTATTATAATAGCGTTCGATACAGATTTAGTCTCGAAAATATAATAATGTCTTAAAATTAAATGAAACAGTACCCAGTACCTTTTATGCTTTTAAATGTCTTACTTAATTTTTTAACAGCAATAAAATAGCTATAAGGTTGCAAATGTAGTTTTATGATTAAAAATAGTGTAATGAATAAATTTTATTTCATTCATTTTTTTAAATAAGTAAGTTTTAATACCTCCATTTGCTTATTCATTTGCTACGGCGTAGAATGGTCTACGCCGTAGAGATAGACTTGTTAAAGGAAAAGATACGTAGACTACTACCGATCATGATCGTCTTAAGAAAATAGGAATAAGTTATTTTTATGACCATGGTGTAGATTTTATGTGTTTTACATCGGTGTGTTTTTGCTTTGTGTTTATAAATTAAAAAAAGCAAATGATTAGTCTCATTCTTTCAGTACCAAAAGATTTGTAAAATGTGAGTTGTATTTTAACTTTACTTGAGACAATGGAGTCTCAGTAAATGAACATCATTTAGAAGATCGAAAAGTTAGATTGTTTTTAAAACTGGTATGACGTCATAATATCTACGCTTATCTAAATAAAGAAGGGGTGGGGTGAATGGGGGGATATTAGGGGGTTAGGGTGGAGGTGAGAGAGTGATATCAATATTATATTTTGCGTCCGAAATGTGATGGCGAATTAACAAATACGAAACATGAAACCGTGGCTAAAGAAATTGGTATAAAACAAATCAATAAATAAGTAGTAAATGTATTAAAGTAATAAAAAAAATTATAAATAAACTATAATACCTTTTTGTATTTGGTACCTTGTGATACCCAATGATAAAGGAGTCACCACCTTGCAAATAAAAATAAGAAGAATAAAAAATACAAACAAAGAAAATTATAAGAAACTATAAGGTAACTTTTACATATAAAAACTTACCTGCAATCGTATCAAGCTGGCAATGATGATGATCAGCGCAACCGCAAGGTACATGCACTTGGTTTTGAAATACTTTTTAAATTATAAAAAATGACTGAAGCTAAAGTCAATTGTTCGGGTGCGGTACCGCCGGGCAAATGGACGTTACCCGGTGGTAGCTCGCAATCGATGTCTCCACGCATGCGCTTTACTGTAACTACGCAGTAGTTTGACGATAAATTACATTTTCAGCATTCAAATCACGTACCTGAGCGATTCGTGTTAAGCCCACATTTCCCATGAAGACTTGGATTCTATTTTATATATATGTAGTTTATCATACTTTTTCAACATACATTAAGCTTGTATAGAAACCGTCTGGGTCAGCAATAGGGCTGTACAAAATTACGTAAAAATTTCAAGATCTAATGAATATTATTTTTGCTTCTTACTTTATGGATGGACAAAGGTTTGTTAGTTAAAACCATTTATACCCAGAAAGAGAGTTGAGCTTTTAGAAGATATTTTTTTGTAAGGCAAAACTAAATCAGACTGCCTTTATAATTAAGGTTAATAATTGTGTATAAAGTGAAATATATCCTTGCTGGCTTAACTTTGTAATCTAGCCATCGCAGGCTTTTAACGTCCTCGCATCTAGAATTACAATAAAATATCAAAATTAAAATCCAAACAACATGTTTCCTTGGATGATCAATATTTTTTTCTGGCAACAACATGTTTCATAATCTTTGTCTTGTTGACAATTGACATTGACATCAGTTGTCAGTGGGTTTTTATATGGTTTTCAAAAATCCAAATCGTGGTTTGAATTGTTTTCTGTTGTTTTTATATTCATGAAATAGGTAAAGGAATAAAATATGAAGGAAGAACAGACTAAAAGGTAAAGCTTTATTTAGCAAATTTCGTTTAAAAACCCACATTTCCTTAACAGACATAGCTAGTTCAAATTTTAACGAAATACGCATTTGAACGTTTCAGGCGCTCTAATCCGGAATTAAGTGTGAGGATCATATTAATGACAATATTAAAGGATATGTATAGCAAGGGAGTGAATTCGGATATGACGGCTGATGGAGATATTTCGAGCATACTATGCCGCCAATCTGTAGGTAAAATGGCCGAGACATGATGATGTTGATGGCAAATACAATTTGAAAACCATTCCATGTGTATAAATTTATAACAAGAGATCTTAGGTAAGCTAATAACACTATGTTTTGTAATAATATAACACAAAAGTAATATAACAAACAATTTTGATTGTATTTCAGGACACCGTCATTCTGAGTCTTAAAAGCAATGCTATTTTATATCACTCTGTATCAATTTTATACACTATAACTCAAAAAGGTAAATATTGCACTATATTTTGTTTCGTAATAATACTAATTTTACTAATGTGAAAGATGAGATGGATTGATGGATATTTGCTAGAATCTGTAGCCTAAACGGCTGAACGAATATCAATGAAATTTGATGTCAATTTAGATAATATAAAAATAGCCTGGAAGAACATACAGGAGACTCATTTTTGTATTCTGCACATATAGAGTTGCAGGCGAAAGCTAGTGATAAATAAAAAATCTTTGTGATGTTTAAAAATGTGCCCTAATGTGTTTAATAGTAGTATTATAAAAGCAACTGTAATGTTTCTTTAAAAATTATGATCATTTTTGTTTACCCAACACTGGACATAGCCCTCCCTCATGCCAAAAATATGGCTTGTAAAAATTAAACCGAGTATGCAGTCCTTATTGATAGTATCAGTAATATTGTATTAGTCAGCTTTAAGAGTCACTTTTCAGTGTTCAGCATTGATCTATAGTTTTGATTTTCAACTGACATAATTTCTGTTATCCTAACTATGGGCCGTCCCTACATTATGAGCTTGCCACCATCTGCCACAATTCTTTTTTTACTAGCTGTAAGGTTGTGTTATGTTAGATGTTATTAGTTTTTTGGTGGCAATTAAAATCCTATTTATTTATTACTAGCTTACACTGTCGACTCTGACCCCGTGAAGTTAAAAAATAATATAAAATATGGCCTGTTACTCACAGACAATGTACCTTTTTAATGGTGAAAGAATTTTGGAAATTGGCCTAGTAGTTATTGAGTTATTTCCTTACAATGAAACAAAAAAAGTTTTATAATATTACTATAAATTTAAATATTAAAATATTGGTTAATTTAATTACAGATGCAAGAATAACACAATCCAGATATTAGTATTATGCGTACAATGTGACATGATCAAAAAGCGAGTGATGACTGAGATGACATATGTTTGAGTTATGTGGAGGACAAAAATTGCTGCGCCGACCCTATAGGAGTAGGATAAGGAGAAAGAAAATTTTTTTTGATAACTATTGACTGAGGACATAAAAGACATGCATTTATCATTTGAGCGGGAACAAGCCAGGAGAACTGAGACATTTAAGAAATGTATAGACTATGTATAGACACAGGCATAGTGACCAACATTTTTTTCACTGGTAACATCTTTGAAAGGTACTATATTGACAAGTTTAGTATGCCACCTCATGTCCCTGTATTGCCATGTAATAAAAATGAAAAAAAATATTATAAGCCCCATATTTTCTTATGAAATAAACTAAAAGGTGTAAAAAATTTAATTTAAATATTATTTAACAATTCCAATTGGCTATTTTCAAATTTAATTAATTATATTGATATGTTGTTTTGAGGATTTATCAATGTGTTAGTGAGATTATGTGAAAAATGTTAAAGTGAAGTCAACTATGCCTACTTTATATATTTTCTGTCTCTGTGCAGAAGAACAATTTCAGTAAATACTAAATAAATAAATAAATAGAATTTTTACAACACACTAGCAATAGCATTTTAAACACTAGCAATGGCCAATACATAGTAATTATAAGTGGTTATTTAATAAGTGTTTCTGAACATTATGTCTTGATAGGTTTACTTTTGTTATAGACCAATAAATATATCTTTATGTCCCTACATCTAACATTTTATGTGCAGTGACTGTTGTTCCGAGCCACTAAGGTATTTGAATATATCTATTCTCTGCTTGATGTCACTATTTAGAGAGCTTTATTTCTTTCTCTTGATGTTACGGTTTAGAAAGCTTTTATCTTTAATGTCTCCATTATTTGATAATTACCACAAGTCTTTTAAGCCAGTGTCTCATGTGACATTTACATTAACTAATGACATTCAGATTAATAATAATTGCCCCAAATTGCTGTCAGATTGTCAACTGTTTTCAACCATGTCGGTCATAATTTTAGCTATGTTCCTAACTTTGTGTAGAAGTCAAGAGATTTTAATTCAAGAAAATCTAGATTTTGTGTGCATTGATAATATAATTTTGAATAATTTCAAAAAAGGCTCCGAAGTAACATATGTTGATTTGAATTATCCAGATAATGATGTTATAAAAAATATTCATAAAATGAGTAAAGTGTCGCTAGTATCTAGAACTTCGAGGATACGAATGAACCAACACAATGAAGCTTATATTGTTATGGTTGAAAATTTCGATACATTTAAAGATAATTTTGTGAATCTCACAAAAGAGAAAAATTGGAATCCTAATGTTCATTTTCTGATTATATTTAAAGAAATTGATACAAAATTAATGAACGATTTGTTTAATATTTTACTACATTATCATGTGTTTGAAGTTATTGTGATAAATTCTATAGAAGATGAATTATTTACTTACAATCCTTTTGATAATTATAATTGTGGAAAATCTTATACTGATATTATAAAACTCGGCGATTGTGCTAAAAATATATCAAATTTGTATTTTAATAAATTTCATACTGGTCTTAAAAGGTGTAATTTTAATGCTGTGGCATCACATTGGCCACCTTACGTTATTAATCCTGCAATGAACTTTGGACCAGTGAAGTTGTTAGGAACCGAACAATATGTTATGAATATATTAAGTGAATTGGAAGGATTTAATGTCAATTACACATATAAGGATAATGCAGAAGAATTTTCAGTTATAGACAATAATATGAATGCTGTTGGTTCATTAAGTTTAATTCAAAATGAAAATATTGACATGGTTTTTGGCGGCATGTTGTTGACGTACGAACGAGCCGAGGCTTTCAGTTATTTCTGTGGACATCACGCGTTTTCAGATAAATTAAACATCGTAGTTAAAAAAACAGGACCAGTATCAGTATGGAGAAATTTGTATTTGGAATTCACTTATATTGTATGGATTCTTTTGGCCCTTACATTTTTTATATTTCTAGCTGTCTTAGTACTTTCTTTTGGTATTAAAGAAAAGTCTCGAATGGTTTTAATCATGTGGGCTATCTTGTTACAACAAGGTTGTAAATTATGTTATAAATTTAAAATCAAATGTTTTATATTTCAATGGGTTTTGTTTGCTTTTCTGATCAATATATACTATCAGTCAATTTTAATGGGTCTTACTACACACGTCAGTTGCAATTATCAAGTTTCGAGGGAAAAAGATCTTGGTGACCTTAATCTTCAGTCATGTATGAGTCCTGTTATAAAAGAGCTTATTAAGATTACAACCGGGAAGGAGTACGGACCTGGTAAAAATTGTGACACGATACTAAAGAGTTTGGAAACCGTTAGCCATGATAATACAAAATACACTGTAACACTGTATTCGATATTTAATTATAATAAATTAAAATTCACAGACGATTTCGGGGAATACCTCCTGTATACCTTTAAAAAACCAATATATAAAATTATATATGCAGTTTATTTCTACAAAGGATTCCCTATGTTACAAAAACTGCATACACACACGTTACGACTTCGTGAAAATGGTCTAATAAAACATAAAATGGATCATTTATTTTATGAGAATGCAAGAAAAACTTTCTTTGCTAAGAAAGAGTTTCGAGCTCGTTTTATATTTCCTAATGGCATCTTGATCGTGGGCCTTGGATTGTCGGCGATTTCCTTTGTTGTTGAATTGATAGTCCACTTTGTTCAGCGGAAGAGAATGAATCGTGTAATATTTTTGCATTAATTATTTGATCAAAATTATATATACAAGTAGCTGTAGATCGCCTTTACCATAATAACCTTAGTTCCTTTATGTTGGCAGCGTGTAGTTTATGGTCCCTTTCGCACGTGGAGGGTTTTTTCCAATTTATTTACCTTCTAAGTTTGATAGTTTGAAAATATATAGCCTAAAGCGTAGTGTTGTGAGTGTAGTGTTTTTATTAAAGAGAGAATTATTCAAAAATATGCTGTGATTGCTGACATCCTACGCCACAAAGTAATGTGTGTGTACTCTTTATTATATTTGTATAGTATTAGAATAATTGTAGATTGCACATTAAATAAATACATTATAAATATATCGTGTTGTTTGTTAAGTTTCCTTTCATAACAACTTTAGCTGTCAAGATTTATGTGTCAAAAAATTTAGGTTAAGCTCGCTCCCTGCGCTATTGAGTAAATAAGTTTCCTCATGTAGTACTTAAGTATTCCTTAAGCATCGATCCTAACTTAATCTATCAACAAGAACTAAAACATCGCCTAAGTAAACCACAAGTTTGTAGTTTCTAAGCTAGTTAACTTGTAATTAGAACTTGTATTCTATTTGATATGAATAGCTTAGCATTGCTATAATAATATTAAATTAATAGTTTATTCTTAGATTTTTTACAAAACAAGGATTTCTGTTTTAGAAAGTTTTCGTTTTCGATTACCGTACATTTTTACATTACATAGAGTTTACATACTCCGAACATAAGGACTGCCATATACGGACCGCTTCAAGCTTTCGCGACTTTCGAGGGTACTGACATCAGAGACAAAGATTCTTTAGATCATTTTATTTTTTTAACTTATTTTGGTAGGGTTGCAAAAAAATAAACATTGAGTAAATATTTTTATTATTCAATATAATTAAATACCTAATATATTACTTACTGTGGCAATTTTAGTATTAACTAACTTACGCCAGCGACTCCGTCCGCGCGGAATTAAAAACAAAAGTAAGTATCCTATGTGTTCTTCAAGACTATGTTCTAATTCATAATTTGATATGTTCTACATCTATGCCAAATTCCATCGAGATTCGTTCAGCCGTTTCGGCTACAAACTCTCAAACATCCATCTATCCATCTAAACTTTCGCATTTATAATATTAGTAAGATTATAAATAGTTTAAGTTTTTTAAATAAAGATAAAATAAAACTCTTGAAAAATGTGATTTTTTTTTATTGGGATAAAATTTAATTTTAATTTACAATACTTTTTTGTGAGTAATAAAGACATAAAATTGCCAGGAGATTCATGAAATTAGCGAATTAAATTGATAGATTCAATTTTTTATTTACTTTCAGATATTTTGTATTTACAATAATTTTTAATAAATCACTTTTCAATAAATAAATGTATAGTAAAGGTGTGTTAAAGATAAGCGAAACAGATAAAAGCAGCGAACACAGATATTTAAGGTAAGTAAATTTCTCTATACCTCCTTTTTCGTTGAAAGAAATCAATTATCAATTCAATGATTAGTGTTATTCCTGACAAGAAAACTCCCACTATCAAAATGTACCACGGCAAGATAAACTGTACCTGGAAACCTTCATTACGGAATTTGTATTTTTTTGCTTCTTCATAAAATAAATCTCTTAAATGTTTATCTAATAAACCACTTTCACGTATGCGTAAAACATTATAACGCAATGTATTAATTTTCGGGAATCCTTTGTAAAAATATACCCCATAAATAATTTTATTAGTCGGTATTTTAAATGAATAAAGAAGTGAAATCCCATAATCATCTGTATATTTAAATCTATTGTAATTAAATAGTGAATGCAATACCAAAGTGTATTTTTTATAATTCTCACTAACGGTCTGCATACTGGCCATTGTTTTATCACAATCTTCGTCCATTTCGATGTCATAGTCATTCCCAATAGTGGCGTTGATAAGTCCCTTTATATTGTTAGAAATACACGGTTCCATATTGTAATCCATGATATCTTTCTCATCAGAAACCTGGTAGTTATAACTGAAGTGTGTTGTGAGACCCATCAGATTAGATTGATAGTATATGTTGATCAAGAAAGCGAAAAGGACCCATTGAAAAATGAAATATTCCATTTTAAAATTGAAACCTTTTCTGTAGCCATGTTGGAAGAGGAGACCCCACATGATTAACATTAAATGACATTTATCCTTAATTTGCAACACAATTATAAATAATACAAAACATATTAAGAAATTAAGGAATAAAAGAAACCAAACTAAGTAAGAAAATTCCAAATAAATGTTTTTCCATGATGCTACAGGCCCTGCAGTTTTTACTAACATAACTAATTCATCAGTGTACGCTAGATGTTCATAAAAATAACTAAAAGCTACAGCTCTTTCGCGTAATAGTAACATTCCTCCAAACACAATATCAACATCTCCTTTCTGAATAAGACTCAAGGCGCCAGTCGCCGACATGTCGTCTTTCACGACAGGATATATGTCAGGATCATATAATGCCGTAAAATTGATTTTAAAACCTTCTTTTTCACCTAATATGTTTAAAACAAATTGTTCCATGCCCATAAGGTGTTCAGGAAAGTTCTTTATATTAGGTTTAATAGAGTACGGGGCTCTGTGCGATGTAGCGAAGTTAAATATACACCCTTTCAGTCTTCCATCAATTTTAGTTGAATACAATTTTGCTATACTCGTGTTAGAACACGTATTGAAAGATTTGATGTTGAAATATTTTTTACCACAGCTGTTATTTTCGAAAGGATCGTAGGTGAAAATTTGAATACCACTCGTCCCAGTTATCACGGCCACGTTGAAAACATGATAATGGATTAGAATATCAAACAAGTCTGTTATTGCATTTGGAGTTTTGTCATTTATGATAATAATGAAATTAACACTCGGCGTCCAGTCTTTCTCTTTAATGAGATGTTTGAATTCATTCTTGAAGACATGCAAATTTTCAGCAGCGATAATGTAGGCTTCGTTGTAATGATTTACACTTTTATTTGTCTTTCTGGATACAACAGTGGCGAAATTCATTCTGTGAATGCTCTCTAGAATATCGTCATTTTGATAGTTTAAATCTACATACGTGATGTGAGATCCCTTTTCAATCCAATGAGATATAATATTCTCAACACAAGTTGAAATGTTTGCGTTATTCTCTTGAATAGACAATGTATGGCAATTAGATAACCGAAATGTAAGAAACAATAAATACACAATTAACATGGCGATGGGTAACGATTTCTTCTGGTGAATTCTTGCAGCATTTACTGAGACAGAATTTCTATTCCAGAAGTTCAGGACAATTTGTTACTATTTTCGTGAATTTTAAATGAGATTGGACTATTACGTCCGGCGTCGCGCATTATTATGCATTCGTCCTTACGTTTATTGCTGCTTGCGTGATATCCAACTTTCGGTCCTTACCAATGTGTAATTTCGTTGTAGGTTTGTAATTACATAGTAGTACATGGATATCCTTACTGTAATTAAAAAGTAATAAATGCTACAGTAAATATCACATACTGTTTTAAATCAGAGAATCAAATCCTTATAAATTCAAATACAATAGATAAAAGAAATGTTTCAGAATTTGGCTAACTCACACAAGTTTAACCCACTATGACGTCTTAGCGCGAGTGGGAGGCTTACCACGAGCATTACCACGACCATAGAAGACAGGCCTAAAGTCGAAGAAATTCCACGTTTCGCCTGTTGAGTGTGCAAACCGGTCTAGTCCCCTACCCTTCATCCCTTTTTCCTTATTAAGGAAGGATGAAATATCCATTTTCTGTGCTTCCCTTTCTGTAAAATTATAGGAAGCGAAACATCTGCAATTGCAGATGACTATTCGTAGCAGTCGCTTCGCCATTTCAGCGAATTCTGCCAGTGCTTGCTCATTTGCAACTTTATACTATAAAAAATAAAGAGTTATAATTTTAACAACAAGAGAACCGGTAACCGGTATCTTTAAGAGATGCTTACGCCTAGTAGACGACTTTGGTCTTATTAGGATATCAGCAAATGATTTAAAAGTAGATAGAAAAGAGGATTACGTGTGCTAGGATCAAAATAAAACGCATAAAAAAAGTATTATTTATTTTATTTGAAGCACATTTGAATTGAAATGCGATAATAATGCACACTAAATTCGAGGTGCAATAAGATATAACAAGAATAAGAATTAACTATAATATTGCAACCATTTGCTACTAATTCAACACAGTGAAGTATAACTCTGAAGAGAAAAACATCATAAATTACACTCTTACAAATATTAAGTGCAAATTCACGGACAATTTACTTAATGCAAGAAAATAATGTGATGCCTCCTGTTTCTCTTTATATAATCCATTAGAATTTCAATAAGAAACGTGAATGTTGATAATCCATATCCGACCACCAAGACATGCCAAGGTAAGACGAATGGAGCGTGCATTTGTTTACTAAAATCAATGTGTTTTCTGGCTACCTCGTGACTTATGTCTCTTGCCTGCTTGTCTAATAAACCGGTTTCACGTATCCGTTGCACCTGGTAGTAGAAATCTCTCAGTTTTGGAAATCCTTTGTAAAAGTATATTGCATAAATAAGTTTACTCTTCGGGAACGGAAATTTGTACAATAGGTAATTTCCAAATTCATCTTTAAACTTATAATTATTCAGTTTATATTTAGAAAGTAATACGATAGTGTATTTTGTGTTGTCCATGCTGACAACTTTCATACTGTTCAATAAATTATTGCAATCTTTATTCGTTTCATTGATTATTTCACGTCCCGATATAGCTTTGGTATAAACATTAATGAGAGGACTCAAACATGGTTCTATTTTATAATAATCTAAATCTTCAGTTGTCGAGATTTGATAGTTATGACTGACGTGTGTCGTCAACCCAGATAGGTTCGACTGGTAATACGCATTGATCAAAAACGCAAAAATGACCCATTGGAACAGAAAACATTTGCCTTTGAAATTTAAACGTAATTTATGACTGTGTTGGAAAAGAAGGTCCCACATAACTAAAATAAAATAACATTTATCCTTAATACGAAACAGAATTGAGAAAACAACAAAAAACGTAATGAAAGTAACAACTAGTAGAAACCAAACAAGATAAGTAAATTCTAAATAAACATTTTTCCATTTTGAAATAGGACCTGACTTTCTTACCAGTACAGATAGTTCGTCTTCAAAGTCATGGTGTCCATGAAAGTATTCAAATCCTTTGGCTCGTTCATGTGTCAGTATCATTCCTCCAAGAACTATGTCGACATATCCTTTTTGTAGTAAACCCAAACTACCAGTAGCTGTCATGTTTTTGTAAATGAGAGGAAAATCCTCTGCTTCGCCAAGAGACTTGTATGAGATACTAAATCCTGCACTTTCACCTAATATTTCCATTAGATATTGTTCTGTTCCTTTCAACTTCACTTTGTGACTGTCTGTAAGAGGATTTATAGTGTAGGGTGGCCAATTTGTTACGCTAACATTGAAAGTGCAACCCTTAAGGTCTTTCTTTGATTGTTGAAAATATATTTTCTTTACTATCGCTTCGGAACAGTTGTCGTATCTTGCGATTTCGTCAAATGTTTTACCACAGTTTTTATTTTGAAAAGGATTGTATGTGTATATCGGAGTATCACTGGACGAGTATATAACGATTACATTAAAGATGCGAAGACGCAACAGCATATTGAATAAATCTGTGATTTTATCAGGTTCATGATGTTTAAATACGATTACCATATTTGCCTTCGGTTTACAGTCTTTCTCTTGTGTGATGAACGAAAATTCATTTTTGAATGTATCAAAATTATCGATCATAATAATGTAAGCGTTATGTTGAATATTTACTTCTATATTTGCAGTTTTAGATACAACTGTAATAAAATTTATTTCGTGCATGGCTTTAAGGATGTCATTTTCTTGATAATTAAAATCGACGAAAGTAATATCTTTCAATGGTACCGCCCCTTTTTTATTCCAATTTAATATTATATTTTGAAGACAACTTGTTAAGTGACTGTTGTCGTCTTTGAGCAACATATTTTGACTGTCACACAGTTGTACTGACATAAGTGTTAACAAAAATGCAACTAACATGTTGAAGACCGTGCTCACCTCGGTTGTGATTTCTGCAATAGAATAAAATGTTATTACGAGAAGTTATAAGTATACAGATTTTCAAGAGATGTTTTGAGTTATTTATAAATAATTTATCTTCAAATTTATTAGCCACGTAATATTTTTTTAAAACTTAATTAAACTAACTACACAAGCTGAATAAAATTGATTTATTCAACCAATTTTTTGACTATTGCGAAAACGTAGTTGACTTCTGCTGAACGTAGGCCTTTTCCATCGATTGCTAAGATGATCGGTCCTGTGCCTTTTTTTAGTGAAAAATGTTTCAACAGTAACATTCTAGCGTCACCACATAGTATTCATTAATATTGTTATAGATTGGACTTGTTTTATTAAAGTTTTTTTTACAAATGTTTGGACATTGGAAATTCACAAATACATTACGTGTGCTTTTTCAATAACTGGTTTTCAATAACGATGTGTGTTTCAGCAGGACCTAATTAATCTTGAAATTCACATGGCTGGAATTGTTAGTGACTGGTTTATCGTATGTTTTAAATTTATTTTTTTAATTGGAGTTCGGATAAGAGAATATTAGCAGTTCCGACGAAGTCTAAGCATGCTATGCGTATGTTTTGTGCCAACATTTGTAGTAATTGTCCCTACAACTTAGTATGTAACTGTTTAAACAATGATGACTATCTGTTAGCAAATAAAAGATGTTATTAATCAAGTGGCGTGCTTTATTATTTAACCAATGAAATAACGAATAAATGTTTTTGTATTTCCTTTTATTGTGGTCTTTTGTAATAAAAACTCAAGAGCAACCTGTCACCATAAGGGGCAGTACTACCAAATTCTCGTAAATTGCCTGATAATAATCAAACAGATAAAATACGTGACGGAAATATAGGATTTTTTTGTTTCACAATTCAGGATACCGATAAATAAGAACCTGGTAGTTAGTAAAAGCGGCAACGTCGCAAGGACGCTTAAAAGATCATATTCGGGCAGTTTTGTAAAAACTTTATTTTTCATGTTAAGATAAATCTTTCCTATTTTCTGTTAAAAATTTCTTTAAAAAGATTGTATACAATATATGCTAAGTATTAAAAAAAATCACTTATTTATTTTAATATTTGGTTAAAAATAAAATATATAAAATGAAATAAGTGGAATGAATTGCGAATCGGAATTTCGTTTCCATGACAACGGTATATTGTTATTTATCACTAAATTTATGCGGAACAAATCAATGGATAGTATTGCAATAGTCTAATCACTTGTACGTAAATTATCTGACATCAATGAAGATGTAATATAGCAGAAAGTATAAAATGATTTTTCTGTCCCACCACTGACATCTGTCATTATTAATAACACTGATAATTTACAACAGTACTATAACGGCAACGTCGCAACGAATGCTTATAAGTTCCTATTTATGCAGGTTCGTAAAAGAGACCACGCCCTAAATTACGTGACAACTTAGTTTAGTTTTACTTAAATGTATATTTTTACGTAATTGAATGCATAACAAGCTTTTATATTAACAAAGGATAATAACACAGCTAATAGTAAAAATTAACAAATACAATAAGAAAAAAATATTTTAACAACAAAATATTACGTTGAATGAATTGCGTAGCGTCATTTTGACAACGGATTACTGTTATAATGTAACCATACGGTTCCTTGTAAGACTACTTCGTAAGATGCAAACTTCACTGCCATGAGTAAACTCAAAAACACAAAAAGTACAGAGTTTGTCACTCGAAACATGGCCCATTGCCATGCTAGATTATCGTCTCAATTTCTCACTACTGAGTGATTGTGGGGACGGTATATTCATGTTATATTACAAGACAATCGTAAATTCATCTTCTCAAAACTCAACAAGATCTATTTTCAGTCAAAACATTGATATTAACTCAAAATAAGACCAAAGAAAGTTTTCTCATCCAGTTGATAAAAAGATAATGGTCACTCGATCTGGCAGTCAAATTAGGAGCTCGTAAATTTGCTATTTTACCTATCCGAAACTTGTGGGACTGGATTTTGCACCATATCTGACGTCATTGTGACATTCATGTCATTTCGACATTATCCAGAACTCTTTATCAGCCACCCGTGGGACAGAATCGAAAAGTTTTGTATGGGGCTTGTAAAAAAATGACATTGACATTTAAAACGTCACAGCGTTATCTGCTATTTAAAATTGGTGGGACAGAAATTTTGTATTTTATCTGACGTGACGTCATATTTACACTATCAGGGCCTCTATCTACCACCGGTGGGACAGGCCATTAATCTCGTAAACTTCCGAAACGACTGTCGCCCAGACATCTGCATTTGCAGAAGCGTTATAGGGAAGGTAGGCCTTTATAATACAGAGGAGTTGGTGCACTGGAAGGGGATATTTCCTCTTCCTATTAGACTCTTCCACCGCCAAATTTACTTCTTCCTATCATTACAAGAAACTGATCGGAAGGTAACATACTGCTTAGACTGTGAACAATAAAAAACATTAAAGTACCTAAGTACTTAAGTAACATTTTATAATTTAAAAGTAAAACAATTATTATTTCATGTTATTGACTACAAGGAAAGTCGTTGGATGCAGAAGACAGAGGACCGCAATCTGTGGAAGGTATTGGGGAACGCCTATATCTAAGAGTGGGCAGATAAAGGCTGATGATAATGATTATTATTGACTAACTATCGCCTGCAATTTGGTATTTGTAGAATCGAAAAAAATGTTAACCTGTGTGACTCCTAAGTAAATAAGCGGTTTTGGAGACTTCCCGGAAGAAACACATTCTTGTCGAAAGATATGCAGACCAAAAAATGTTTTAATTTTATACAAATGCAAATAATCACGTGCAATAAGTATAAAAAATCATTTTGATTTACATAATGATACTCCACTTTTATTAACTGAGTAGCTTTCGCATCTATACCATATTTTAACGAATTCCGTTCAGCAATTTAGGCTGCAAACTCTACCAAACATCCAAGCCTCTAAACTTTCGCATTTATAACATTAGTGAGATACTAAGATTTATTTCCAAGAAAAGACGTAATAGAATAGCTAGTTCAACTTAAATAAATGAAAACTAAGTAGAAAATTTCTTAAGAGTTAATAGAGCCGGTGATTTTAGGGTTTTTACAATTTTGGATGAACACATTCCTACCTTGGCAATGCCCATGCATCTGGTCAAGGATCTGTACGCTGGATAAGGACGGCAGAGGATCGAGGCGACATTCGTGGGAAGGTCTACGCCCAGTAGAAGATTTGGGCTGATTAGGATGATAAAAAATACTAAAATATTATAAATACATGTAGAAAAAAATGTTCTAATAAATGGTTTGAAAGAAAAAACCGAACAAACTTAAAGGCGTACTCGTAAGTAGATATATAAATAGATGCAAACAAATTAAAGTAAAATCAAAAACAGTAGATAGAAAGGAGGAATACGTATGTCTGGATCAAATGAAAACACACACAGAAATATATTATATTTAATGCACATTGTAAATGAAAAGTGCTATAAATGCACACATAATTGGATGTAAAAACGACAATCTAATATATGTAAGATGGGAATTAACATCTTTTTGCAAATATTTGTTACTAATAACGCGCAGTGAATGTAAACTCTGAAGAGGAAATAAATAACAAATTACACTCCTACAAATAGTGCAAAATCACAATTTCTATATGTACTCAATGCAAGAAAATAAAAGCTTGTCGCCTCTTTTTCTTCATGTGATCCATTACAATTTCAATAACAAATGTGACCGTAGATAATACATATCCGACCACCAAGACCTGCCATGGTAAAATGAAGGTAGTGCCCGATTTTTTTTCAAAAACATAGTGTTTTCTTGCTACCTCGTGCCTAATGTCCTTTGCCTGCTTGTCTAATAAACCGGTTTCACGTATCCGTAATACCTGGTAGTTCAAATCTCTCGGCTTTGGGAATCCTTTGTAAAGATATACTGCATAAATAATTTTACTTTCCCGTATAGGAAAATTATACAGAAGAAAATCTCCAGATTCATCTCTATACCGATACTTATTTATATCATAGTTTAAAAGCAACACTATGGTATACTTTGTGTTATCGTTGCTGACCACTCTTATACTATTTAAAATATCATTACAATCTTTATCAAGTATTTCCTTTTCCATTAAAGCTTTCGAAAAAACTTTAATGACAGGACTCAGACATAGTTTTATTTTGTAATAATCTAAATCTTCAGTGTTCGAGATTTGATAGTTATGACTGACTTGCGTCGTCAACCCAGATAGATTCGACTGGTAATATGTACTTATCAAAAACGCAAAAATTATCCATTGGAACAGAAAACATTGACCTGTAAATTTCAAGCGTAATTTATAACTGTGTTGGAAAAGAAGGTCCCACATAACTAAAATAAAATGACATTTATCCTTAATACGAAACAGAATTGTGAAAACTACAAAAAACGTAATGAAAGTAACAACCAGTAGAATCCAAACAAGGTAAGTAAATTCTAAATAAATATTTTTCCAACTTGGTACAGGGCCTGCCTTTCTTATCAGTGCAGATAGTTCGTCTTCAAAGTCATGATATCCATGAAGGTAATCGAAACCATTAGCTCGTCCATATGTCAGTACCATTCCTCCATAAACGATATCATAATATCCTTTTTGAAGTAAGCCCAAACAACCAGTTGCTGTCATGTTTTCGTCAACGACAGCAAATTCTTCTACCTTTGGTATGTATGAATATTTAAGATCAAAACCTACTTTTTCACTTAGAATGTTCATTAGATACTGTTCTGTTCCATTGAACTTCAAATCATTAGGATTTATAGTAAAGGGTGGCCAATAGGGCATACCCACTTGGAAAGTGCAACCCTTAATATCTTTTTCAGGTTTGTGAAAAAACAGCTTTTCTACATTTTCTTCAGAACAACTATTGTATTTTACGATTTCGTCAAATTTTTTACCGCAGTTTTTATTTTGAAAAGGATGATATGTATATATTGGAGCATCGGTGGATGAGTACACAACGACTACATCGAAGATGTGAAGACGCAGTAGGATATTGAATACATCTCTGATTTTATCAGGTTCATAATGTCTAAAAACGATTACCATATTTGCATTCGGTTTCCAGTCTTTCTCTTGTGTGATGAACGAAAATTCATATTTGAAAGTAGTAAAATTATCAATCATAACAATGTAAGCATTATGTTGAATATTTACTTTAACATTTGCAGTTTTAGATACAATTGTAATAAAATTTATTTCGTGCATGGCTTTAAGGATGTCATTTTCTTGATAATTAAAATCGACGAAAGTGATATCTTTCAATGGTACATCCGTTTTTTTATTCCAGTTCAATATTATATTTTGAAGACAACTCGTTAAGTGACTGTTATCTTCTTCAAGCAACAATATCTTGCTATCACATATTCGTATTGATATAAAAGTTAACAAAAATGCAACTAACATGATTATGAAACTGACTCGCTCGTGCTTATGTCGCGTCCTCTGTTCTTCTGCAATAGAATAGAAGCAACGTGATGGTATATTAAAACTATTTGTAACAATTAAAATTTGTAACAATTAACTAGATCGATTCTATGAAATGGATTTCTTTCAATGTTTATTTCACTTTTGTGAATTTGACTACCGCTAATAATCTTTGATGCAGTAAAATTCTAGTTTGAAGCATTAATATCAATTCATATTATTATAGACTGGGTTTACAAATTATGATTACTTAGTTTTACATAGATGTTTGGATATTGTAAATTCACAAAAATATTACTTATGCTTACGTACTATTTCGGCGTTTTGTTTTCGATATAGAGGTATGCTTCAGCAGGAACTGATTTATCTTGCAATTCATGTGCCTTGACTATTTATTCAGACTCGGGATTTCTTGGGATACTATAACGTTTTCTTTTATTTAACTTGGGATTTGTTAATATTATTAACATGTCCGGTGAAGTCTCAGTATGATATGCGCTTGTTTGTTATTTTGTAACAGCATTTGTACTAATTATCCCTACAAATTATCCAACTGTTTAAACAATGATTATTATCTATGTAAGCAAATAAAATTATGTTATGTTATGCATCAAGTGGCGTGCTAAGATATTTACAAACTAAATAAAAAAAACATCCTCTAAGTATTATTTTTAACTTAAAATCGTTATGATCTATTTATTGCATTTTTATTGATTTTAACTTTTGTTTATATCAAAAGTCGACAACTGTGCAAGCGGCCACAATTCGGCAAACTAACAAAGCGACAGGTGCTCTTAGACATCCACATTGTTTTCCTCCAAGGTATTAGCAGATGCGTTGCATACATTTATAAGCAAAATTAAAATAGACCCTTTGTATAGATACACTTTATTACCATTTTGGATATAATAATGAATGTTAAAATGTACGTACTTTTAAGGTTTTAACTTGAAATTTATGATACACTGGGTTTCATATTTAGCAAAAAAAAATATTACTAGTAGCGTATTAATTCTTCCAAACTATCCTCTCCAAAAATGCCAAATTTCATTGAGTTCAGTATAGCAGATTAGGCCGTAAACTCTAATAAACATCCATCTATCTATCATCTATCCAAACTTTCGTAATTTTACTATTAAGAAATAAGATGTATATGAGTTTTTGTGTAGGTCAAATTTAGTTGGTTTTCTTTTTTCTATAGGTTAACAATATTGTTCTTTTTGTTTTGATTTTAATCTTACTTCTTACTAATATTATAAATGCGAAAGTTTAGATGGATAGATGGATGGATGTTTGTTAACGTTTGTAGCCTAAACGGCTGAACGGATCTCCATGAAATTTTACACATTTATAGAGCATAGTCTGGAAGAACACATAGGCTACTTTTTATCCCGGGAATAGTTACGGTTTCTGTGGGATTCATTAATTTTGTTTTTTAATGTTTACTCGATCATTCTGCAACGGTTCAACATATCTTATTGAAGTTTGGCTTAGGTATAAAACAAAGTCTGGAGTACACATGGGATAAGGTTGATCCCCGAGAAATGTCCGGTTCCCGAGGGATACGTAGCTTTTTGTTATTTATATAGTACGTATGTTTTCTAATACCACGCGGACGAAGTCGCGGGCAACAGCTAGTTCTAATATAATTCGCCAACATTTTACCTTAAGTGTTATACAGTTCTCATGGCGGATAACAAATAGTGCCATTGAGCCGACCCCTTGGCTCGTTCAGACGGAAATCCTGTTAACGTCCCAACACGGCTGTGATGTAATTTACTGTTGCTGACTTGTTTGATGTTTCGCATTACTGCCTAATTCACAGGATTAGTATTTATGTTGATCGAAAATCTCTATAACTCCCTATGGATGTTTCTTAGAGTTTGTAGTATATACTGCTAAACGGATCTCGATGAAATTTGGCATAGACGTAAAATAAATAAAAACTAAGTAGGAAATATATTTCATAATGTGAAACGTACCTAAGCTAATAAAGCTGGTGATCTAGGTTTTATGGTTTTTACAATTTTGGATGAACCCATTCCTACCTCGGCAATGTCCATGGATCTGGTCAAGGTTGCTATTGTATATGCTGGATAAGGACGGCAGAGGACCGAGGCGATATTTGTGGGAAGGCCTATGCCCAATAGAAGTAACAGTGGTAGAGCCCGCTTTAACATCTTCGCACGAATGGGCCGGCTCGCGCGGTGTAATACCACGACCACACAGAAATCAGGCGTGAAGTGAAAGTAATTCCGCGTTTCGTCTGATGAGTGTGGTGCCGGAGGCCTAATTTTAGTCCCTTTCCACCCTTTTCTTAAAAGGAAAGGATGGGTAGGAAAAGTGGATTTGACGGTGGAGGAGACGCATAGGGAGGGAAAATTTTCTCTTTTTGTGCGTCTTCTCCTCCGTCAATCAAGGGTAGGCAACGCATCTGCAATTGCGGATGTTTATGGGCAGCGGTCGCTTTCCATTTCAGTGGACTCAGGTGGCCGCTTGCCCGTTTGCCACCTTATATGATATGGATGTTAAAAAATACTAAAATATTATAAATACATGTAGAAAAAAATATTCTTGTAAATGGTGGTTTAAATAAAAGAATATAAACAAACTTAAAGAGGTAGTTGTAAGTAGAAATATAAATAGATATGAACAAATAAAATTAAAGTTTAAAAAGCAGTAGATAGAAATGAGAAATACGTATGCCTGGATCAAATGAAAACACATAGAGAAATATTATTATATTATATTTAATGCATATTGTAAATTAAAAGTGCTATAAATGCACACATAATTGGATGTAATAACGACAATCCAATATAAGATGGGAATTAACATCTTTTGCAAACATTTGTTACTAATAACGCGCAGTGAATGTAAACTCTGAAGAAAAAATAAATAACAAATTACACTCTTACAAATAGTGCAAAATCACAATTTTAATATGTACTCAATGCAAGAAAATAATATCTTGTCTTCTCTTTTTCTTCATGTGATCCATTAGAATTTTAATAACAAATGTGGCCGTAGATAATACATATCCGACCACCAAGACTTGCCATGGCAAGATAAAGGTAGTGTCCGAATTTTTTTTGACAACATCGTGTTTTCTTGCTACCTCGTAACTTATGTCCCTTGCTCGCTTGTCTAATAAACCGGTTTCACGTATCCGTTGTACCTGATAGTGCAAATCTCTCGGCTTTGGGAATCCTTTGTAAAAATATACAGCATAAATAATTTTACTTCCCGGTATAGGAAACTCATACAAAAGAAACTGTCCAGATTCATCTCTAAACCAATACTTATTTATATTATAGTTAAAAACAAAATACACGAAAAACAAAACAAAATGCACTAAAAACAAAACAAAATACACCAAAAACAAAATATTCTCAAAAAAAACAGTAC